AAAATTGATATTTTATACTTATCCTGACTCATGAGGTGAACCCTCCCAACCTCCCTTCAAGGCACTCTGGATTTCCCGGTAAATCCGTGTGTCGGGCTGTAAAATACAGAGAGAGTGAGGAGCATGGGTGACAGGTGGTGCCGTTTTCCCGCCAAAACCTTGGGAAGGGAGATGACTCCTGGTAAGTGATTTTACGTCCGCTTTTTTGAAGGGAGCTTCAAAAGGGGGATTCAAGTGTTCCACTAGCATTCGAAAGGAAAGGGAGACAAGCAATAAGCATGAGTCAGGATAAGTATAAAATATCAATTTTATTCAGAAAATTACATTTTTAAACCTAAGTATATAATTTAGTTAAGCAATATAACAACCCTTCGAATTAACACAGCACTCTACTAATCCTCAGGTTAAGTTATGTAAGCCTGCATTGCGTTCTATTTTTCTTCAGACTCCTGGTCCAGCCACGGCTTGGCCAGTGATTGATTTGCTATTGTTTCTAGAGCATGTGACCAGATCTGGAGTTTTATGTACCCCTACATTCTTTTCCCTGGTCACTGCTACAATTTCAGCTCTTGACTGCAACTACTTCAACTCTGTCTCCTTTATCATGGCACTGCACTTATTGGGGTAAGTTACTTTGGATGTCTTTGTATAAGGAGGTTAGCATATGATGTTTTAGTCTAGTTAGTTTATCATTCTAATCATATGTCTGAAATATATTATGTGCTGTAATATCATCTACATGATGATATGATGTAAATATTTTATATGCTTAATATCATGACACACTGTTATGTATTATAATTAATGTAGACTATAGTGTATACATTGTAGATTAGGTACATATTATGGATGACATGAGAAAGAGTGTGTGTGTGTGTGTGTGTGTGTGTGTAATATAGATTGTATTTAATTGTGTTATTTTATTATATTAGGTCTTTGAAGTACTCATTTGCCACTGGTTGTTTACCGGTAGACTGTGGATTACCTGTGTCCCTGAGACGAGGTTAGTATTTGTGTTTCAAGGAAATGCATGGGTTATGTTCTTAAAGTTATGTTACATATCAGATTTTCATCTGTATGTCTGTAATTTGTAAGATAAGCTTATATTTATACTTACATTGAGTAACCCTTGTGGTGTGCAGAAAATATTAAATGTAATTATATGTTTAATGAGTACTTGTTGCTGTATACCAGTATTTTGAGATGTTTATGTTTTATTTCAAGGGTTTTATCACCTGATCCATCATCCAAGACAATAAATCCCTGAACCCCTTACATGTATTCGTCTGTTTTCAAATCATGACGTGATACCGCTGTTACATCCATTGAAGGGAACTGGTGTAACATCTTCAAGTTTGTTGGGTCCCAACTTCGCAACACATCATATGACGTGAACATATCAGAGTGTTACAAAGTACCCTCATCCATAGTGCCTGCTGACAACCCCAGTGATGACATAAGCGATGACGAAGCACACTATCAGCCAGGAACACCAACCTCCAGTACAGTTCAAGGAGATGCATACATTGACCCACTGTGTGCACTCGAGATCCCCGAGGAAATTGCTACACCTCCGCCTGTGGTCTCTCCAGATGTGGTCTCATGTGACTGATAAAATGAATGAGTCTCCAGTTAATATGCCGGAGGTTAGTGAACGTCCAAAACGGAAACGATGACCTCCACTGAGACTCGCGGACTATGTCACAAATTTCGAGTTCTACAACAAACCAAGTATGTTTAAGTGTAAATGTGCAAGCAAAAGGCAGAACCTGAGAATAGTCTCCTGAGGATGGTTCATTCACTCAAATTGTTGTTCAGGGTTCAAGTTCATGTTATTGACTCCCAGTTGAACTATTTAGTGTGTTTTATAATCCTGTCATTCATGACTGTCATTTCCTCTTGTAAAAAATGTTGTGTTGAGGTGTAAATGTGCAAAACAAGGGCAGAATAATCCCTTTTGAACCTGAGGGCAGTCTACCTGATGATGGTTCAATCCATTACCGGTAAGTTGTTTCAGATTTCAGGTTCCTGATTTTTATTTGTCCATTTCAATGGGCTTTACAGTTATACCAATGGGCTTTTACAGTTGTATCATCATATGCCCTTATAATCCCATCCGGACCAGAGGACAGTTACAAGATTATAGTTTATCGTTCCTGAAATTGATTGTGTTAGGATTGCTTAAATGCTTAAATGATTTTCACACGAATTGAGGTTCTGTTCCCTACGATGTGTTTTACCTCTTAAAAAGAAAAGGAAGTCACGCCAGCACTATATTGTATTCTGTTTGTTAAGACGTACAGAGTTACGTCCCTTTATCCATCTGTGGAGACGTATAGAGTTACGTCCCTTAGTTCACTCTTGCTCCGGTGACCGCGTCTCTCTCGAGCGGCGTGCGTTGTGAACGGTCCTGATTAAAAATCGTTTGAGAAGTTGAGTTGAGTTTGACTTCGTTTGAGAAGACATTCGGTGTCCTGTGGAAGTGAGAAGTGCGATACGCAAAGGTGACGTTTCTACCTTAGTGGCTTAGTTTCTACCTTAGTTAGACTCCAAACAGCAATAAACAGAGGATATTACATCCCCACTGCCTACCACCAACTCATCTCCAAGCAATCTTAAAAATCCCAGTAGCGTACCTGCCATTAGGCACTTTAGGCACGCGCCTACACTTAATTGTTTCGGGAATTTATTTTACATGTTGTACGTTATGGATTTATCTCCCTTTCTATGAAAAGTCGATAACTCTAATGCTACATTGATGCCAACATGGCGTGACATCAGCATAAAGCGAGAGATCCTTTAGTACAATGAGGAGGATCAAGAGGTAACATACCCCAAAACCACCCAAGAAGTCTCGCACTTCCAGTTGTGCCTACATTTCATTTCTTTCATGGGTACGCCCTTGAAATTTAATCCTATTATTCTACTGTCCATCTATTACTGGCTCCCATCAGTAATTCCTCCCTTGTTAATTTTACTTGTGTAACAATTGCCTTCTTGTGTATGTACATCCTCCAGCATGTACATCAACCTTTGTAACTGTGTAAACATCAATCAACTTACTTTTCGAACTCTACCATGTATATATATCCTTGCCTGCAGTTTTGTACAAAACTTGCTTGATAAGGGTGTTAGTAGCTACACCGAAACGTCGCTCATATTTATAAGAGGTTGTATATCCATAGAACTCAGCTGTTCATCACACCAACTTCAATATGCAATCCAGTACAAGAAAGGAAGTCCTTTAGAGTTCTAGAGTCAAGCCAAAAGTTGACAGTACCAATGCATGGTTTGGGCAGATTTTTTATGCCTCAGTTGACCTTATATGTGGCATGATTTGAAATGTCCGTATACCAAGTTCTTTGATCAAACAATTAATGTAGCGATGTTTACAGAAATGGTTATGCTATCTGAGGCCTTGCCAGTGTAAACAAATCTTTCATGACAACTGTCTTGAACAGAATGGGTTTATTCCCATTCTGCTTCTATGACATCATGCACCGACTATATTGACTCTGAAAGACATCTACAGGTTCCTCTTGTCTTTTGGCCCATTTTTGGCACATACTTTAACAGCATCCATACTTCTTGTAATATCAATTGGTAGGAGGCTGCTCATGATATTTTGGGCCTTGTTTAAATGGTCTATCCTCTGGACCACAGAGGTGACCTTTACTTGAATTACAAATTAAAGTGACACACTTGAATTAAAAAAAATAATATCTTTATTCTCCAAAATAGATCAATAGATATTTCAATGGCAATATCTCCATAACAATTTTCATTTTACCAAACTGTAATTATTTTACAAAACTGTAACAACAAAACTGTGACAGAAGAAGTTTGGAATCTGTGATTGAAGGGCTGGAAAAATATGTTGTTATGGCCAGATTAAGTGACAGAAAAGTAATTAAGAGTTATCTGCCCTTGTGTATACATGAAAGCATTTATTGCTGCTGCAACTTATTTGTATCGCCTGTTTTAGAAATACTTTGTATTACTTGTATCTTGTGTAGTAATTTACTGTTTTCACTAGTTAACAAAACAAAGAATTTCTGAAACATGCCAAATAAGATCTTCCTCCGACCCAACTCATCCAATACACCTCACGGCGAGTGAGTTTGTATCTTACATGTCATCAGCATTATTTCTGACATACACCTCATAAGAGTGACGTGAAGTGCTTCTTGTGACAGGTTATGAAGGAATTGTGAACAATTGTGGTGGTGTGTGGTCCTGTGCACAGAGAGCAGGTCACGAATCAGTTGAAGTTAAGCAATACTGAGCACGGACAGTCCTTGGATGGGTGACCGTGATTGAGTTTCTAGGACTTCCGATACATGTGGGCTCACCTTAGGCAAGTGACTTTATACAAAATTGCCTCTGTTCACCCAGCAGAAAATGGGTACCCGGTTGGATAAAGTCATGCGACTATAACCTTCTAGCACCTAACAGGCAGCTTGCGTTATCCGAGTAATAATAATCAGGGTGTTAGCGTTTTGAGCCTGCTTTGTTGTGTGGAGATAAGCGCATTATAAGACTCCTTATTATTATTATTACTATTATTATTAAGGAAAGGGTTTCATAGGTTTTGCAAGAAGACCAAGATGATAAAAATATATTCACAGTGTTATTTCTTCAAAGAATGAAACCCGAAAGTGGCATAGTAATAGAATGAACAATGGCAGAGTTATGTGAGTTTGAACTCTTTGTGTGTTGTAAAAATACCCTGTACTATTCCGTATTTGAAAGAACCCACAATATGTGAAATGTGACCTGGCTGTGTGCAAGTTTTGTTATTAATATAAACATATTTAATCTGTATGGGTGTATGTACAAATCATTCCAATAAGATTGAGTTTGAAAAACAATATTACAAAACATGCACTGTACATAAACCAGGTTCCCGGAAATACCTGACAACAAATCTAAATCTAAATACTGCATACTTTAACACATATTGCTGTGATGTAGAGATAATACAGACACACACACACAGATATAATATACCATAAGTTTTAATACAGTAATGTGAATACACAATGCCTTTTAGAAAAGTGGTCTGATGAAACTTGTTATATGTGGGATTACACGTTCTCAGTAAAGTACAGAATCTTGTAATTCTGGGAGGTTGAGTCCCATCTGTGATTCAAACCCACACTCTTGGAGTGAGGCATCTAATGCCAGCACACATAGTCAGATGGGACTGAAACCTACAAATAACTCAGGATCTTTAGTTTACTGAGACTGTGTAATCCTAAGTATAACATTTGTTGCATTTGACCACTTTCTGAAGGACATTTTGTATTCATAGTTTAGCAATGGGAGCCAGAGGGGTACACAAAGTATGTAACCTAAACTATCAGTTGTCAGACTTATAAGCCACAGAAGCTGAGAGGGTAAGATTGTTGTATTTGACCACTTCTGTTGAAAAGACTTTGTCCTATCATCCATATCACAGAGTGGGTTATAGACTGAGCTAAGAATGGTGCATAATAAGTGTGTAACAGGAGCTGCTGATGGAGCCTTAGCCTCTAACATTTATCATAGTTTAAACATAAAAGGATGACCTGGATTTTCAATATGGTTTCTGTGGTGGTCCTGCGGAAAATAAGATCTGAATCTCTTGAACAAATCCAGTTGACATAATTGTTGGGAACAAGCATGTGGGGTTGATTCATTGGACAAAATGTTTACTCTGTTCAGATGACTGACATAGGATGCTGGACAAACAGGCCATTCTATAAGGTCAACTGATTTTCAGTCTTGTAAGGTAAAAAAGTAAACACTGAAAAGCATACATGTTTTTCCTATTACAAATATCCCCAAGTTTCTTCTGACAGTCAAACCTCTCACAACACATATTATCATGAGTGAGTATGTAATATTTTCAATCACCATTTTCATGGGAAAACACCTGAAAAATCAGTCTAGCTTCTGTGGTTTAAGAGATGATCCCATAACACTGACTGAGTTTAGTTTTACGCCGCTTTTAGCAATATTCCAGCAATATCACGGCGGGGGACACAAGAAATGGGCTTCACACATTGTGCTCATGTGGGGAATCGAACCTGGGTCTTCTGCGTGACGAGCTAACGCTTTAACCACTAGGCTACCCCACCACCCCCGATCCCATAACAACAAACTGAAGTTATATAGGTGACATATATAAACGGATACAGTACATATTACAAGGGAAAATAAGCTCTACAAAACAAAGCAACAATCTATAAAATTATTAGATCTTTTTCCCAGTTTGACATATTTACTGTATACCATGTCAGAATGAAGCAATGATTAAGTAAAGGGCTTAAAGGAATTGGTTCAGGTGAGGTGAAAATATACAAAAAAACATATCAAGTCTAAAAATTATTTCAAATAAGATGTGAGAAACAAATGAATAAACTGAATGGAAAAGAATATACACTTAAGGTCTTGAGTATCAGTGTATTATATGTTATCCGAATAGTATGACATGATATCATTATGAACTATTTATATTTTAAGCAATGGACAATGGCAATGTCACTTTGATTCAATATTGCAACACTGAGTTATGTTGATTCATGATTGTTCTGATGAGCAATGATCTATACAACTAAGATCAAGTCATTTAAGTCAAAGATCAGCTGAAGCAGGTTACACGAAGGTCTTCACAATTTATATTTATTCCAAATTTGTGAAATTCAGGGTATGAAGATATGTAAAGCAAGGTATAAATATTTGATTGCATGGCATAAATAACTTGAAATATAGAATTAACATTTTACAATTGCCTTCCTGAGATATTATGAGACATATCAGAATAAGTAAAAGTATGGGATACACGTTTAGTAAATTTCAAACTTCTATCAAATTAAGATACTTATCATACCCTAAGTTATCATTCAAAACAGCAAAGGTTTGAGAAAATTATTTTATGTCTATGTGAAAGCTTTCAAGGCACAATGGCTCTCATTTCATCAGAGATACAGTTTCATAGTCCCTGAAGTTTCAGATTGGATGTACAACATGTAACACACTTACTTCACAGCAAATAATTGCTGCTGGGTTTCACAAATCATAACTATTTGGGGGAAGAGGACATGTATTTAAGGGTGGAGGGGGGTGGATGACTGCCTTTTTGATTGTCTTTTTACACAAAAAAGTGACCGTAGTTGATCCTGAGGAAGATTGCTAAGTTCTTTGATTTATTCAGTTCAGATCTACTCTATAATTCATAGCCAGTAGATGAAAGATCATGTAACTGACAGAGTAGTACTGAGTTCATTTTGCAAATATATCTTTTCCAGGGATTCTTCTCCGACATAAGTTCCCACTATTAATTTGTAGCTGATGAGAAACAACCACCCCAGCAAATCATGTTTCACAGCAAGATAAAATTAAGAAAATGAACATCAAACATGTTCTATTTTTTTCCTTCTTGTTTCTTTTCTTCCTCTGCAAATGCTGGTCCAACAACTCCAATCTGGATGCCAGCATACTCAGTTGATTCCTTGTCAGTGTGGACATGCTGGCGTGGGTTGTGGTTGCTGAAGTCTATCCCAACATACAGCAGGCCATCTTTATTGCGTCCAGTCTCAGCTCCCTGTAATATATTTGACAGTAATATAATATCTACTAAAATAAAAACAGATCAATGGAATTGAAGTGATCATATTGAAAGTGAGCTCTATGTTTTGTCTAGTCAAATCATAACAGGACAGAGTTAACCGACTAATATCATCTGCGTGATGTGTATACCGGTAATCTCATTGTAACACTGTACAAACTAGTTACTGTTACTCTTATTGTCATGCCCCAAAACATACCTTTAAAGTATCAGGAACCAGGAAAACTGTTTCTAAAGTGTAATATGTTCAGTAATGTCCAAGAAACTTGAAATCTTTCTAATTAACATATATCAGCAACTTTGACTTGAGATCTTATGTGTCAACCCATTTAACGCCTGAAATTACGATTGCAATAAATGTAGTTCCATGAATAAGCCTCTTCAGATGCTGCTAGATCTTGGAGACAGGCATATTCATCCTTCAATGATGAAGTTTGAGTGGTGGAGGAAACGATGTGGATGCCCAAGGCACCTTTCCCATAGTTGCTGTTTATACATGTGCAACTGAATTACAAATTTGTCTATCAATCTGCTCTTCATTCTGTTCTTCACCATTGGCAACCACCCGGACAGGCTTATTCATACATTCCTCTTGGAAGATCATCACTCTGGAGTTCTCTCCTCGCTGAACCATATGAAACTCTTGCAAAGACTACATTGCTCCAGAAATCAAAGAAAGAGGTGCCTTTTAATCAGTCATGCTGACAGGAGCTTAAGTCTCTGAACTGCATCCTGCTTGAGTCTCAGTCAGGATAAAGATTGGAAGTCTGTTATTTAGAGAATAACCAACTCGGTACGAGTGATTACGGGAAATATGCCCGAGTTGAAATAATGTTCACAGTGCCGAGCCTTGGTTGTTTTGTCACTAGTAAAGGTATGGGTACAATGTGTGATGCCCATTTCTGGTGTCCCCCACCGTGATATTGCTGGAATATTGCCACAAGCAGCCTGAAACCAAACTCACTCACTCTATCACTCACTAGTAAAAGTATATAACCAGAATTAGATTACTGTCATTGTGATCATAACATATTCTTTGAAACAACATGCACTGATGTTCTTTCAATATAAAAAAATAACAATTTCATAAGGATTAATTTAATTGAAATTAAAAATCAAATAAATTGTAACTCAGAAACAAATCTAAGTGATATAAATGTTCTATGTCTAGTTAGGATGTATACTTTCTTGTGTTAAGAATTTTTTGACGTTACATTGGGCATGTTACATACTGGTACATGCAGGAATGGCTTAACTTAAAGGACAGTTTCACCTAAAACAAATGTAACCAAAGTAACTGCACATTTTCAGTTGTTTATGAGACACTACAGTTTGTATCATTTGTCAAATGGTCAATGCAGAATGCATCAGAATACAAACACATTTAAATTTCAGGCAGATGAGGGAAAAGGCTAAAATGCCTGGTAAATAGAACAATACTGGACCATAACTTGTTTGGTGTTTTGCATCAATAAAACTGGAACTGGACTGACAAAAGTTTCCTGCATTAACTCTGTGGCATCACAATTTGTGACTGCTCATGTTTTGACTTTAGTTTGTTTAACGTTCTGAAGCGTGGTTTCTTCTTTTGTCATTGACGTGATATTTTATAAACGCTTTGATCCTTTTTACCCTCTCCACAAACAGCCTATCAATACTGCAGGCAAGTGGAGGCCATGCGGGTTGTCTCCCCTTGTGTATTCCTGGCCAAAGCACATGGCGCTGGGTTGTACTACATGTTTTCTGTGTGTAGCTGTATATTAGTTTTCCATCGCCTGGAGATACAGTACTAGCATCAAAGGGTGCTTATAATGACGGATAAAGACTTTCAAAACATTTCAGACGTCTTTGTGATATACTTAGTCATTACAAACTGCATCCATTCAAACCTGTCGTAAATTTCACTGTATATATAATACTCACTGTTGGAACTTGGTCAGTTGTGTTTTCAGGTTGATCCTCAAAGTGTGGTTTTCCTTTCTCACCGATTCCAGTGTTCTCATACACATCACCTGAAACAAAGAACTTGTTCTTATTCATGGTGAAGGACATGCATAATTAGATTCACTCTGTCCCCCTGTACCTGTGAGGGAAATTGAAACTGAAACCAGGCCTTTGGTATAACCCATTGGCCAGTTAAGTCTGTAGGGAAAATATTTAACTAATATTTTTTACTCCTGAATACACGCCTGAAGCACAGCAAAAATAAAAATAACCCTTACCTTTCTTTCTCATTTTGTTCCTTGTCTTCAGGGGAGTTTTATCACCTAATAAAGATTGACCTTCAGTTAATTGGTAATGCATTTGACTCACAACAAGTCTATGAAGCCATGAATATCATTTGGACAAACAAAAGATTATAATCAGTTATATCAGATACATTTGCTACTTGGGTAAATTTATGACAGGCCAAGAACCATAATCAGGGAATCACGATTCTTTCTTTATTGCAATCATAGTGGGGTTAAAAGGTCCAATGTTTATGCTCAAAACTAAGCAAAATAATAGTCACATGATAAATAGTTCATAATATACTGTAACTGGCTTAATGTTGGGTCATTTGCAATGTTATCTGAGCTGTTACATGAGGATTTAAGCTTATTCTAAACTCAATATACCTTTTGAAGGAGCTTTCTTGGCTTTACCATTCTTTGCAACTGCAAAAAAATGAAATAAGATGGCAAATTTGTTTTATTGACATTCCAGACCCTCTGGATGACAACTTGTTGTTCATTGCATTTAGTGACTTATTCATGTTGACGTTTCTGAAGTTACTAGAAGCAAGTGTTATATACTTATGATCTGTTCTGATAAGTAGCAGATGAACTTTATCAATAAGAGATAATCACTAATAAGTATTGATTGGATTACGCCAGATGAAGAGAAAGAACAAATAGCACCGAGAAGCCAGGTATACAGTAAAGATTTAAAAGGTTACACAGAATAGTGGAAGGAGCTGATTGGCTACTAGATAAATAGTGGAACAATCATAAAATAGTGTATTGCACTGTTAGATCTTCTTAGGCAGATGGAATGTAATCTCTGATGATCAAAGGTTTGTGAAGACTTTCAAGAGTTTTCTTGTTGTGAAGTCCTGATGTTTGACAGAGAGGAACTGGACTTTGCCAAACTCAGTTTGATCACTAGGAAACTCTTGTTGGTTGTCTTAGAGAGCTAATTTGCTGTCTTGTTTGACTATTGAAGTTTAATTTTCTTTAACTAAAGAAGACAAATAAGTTAACTATTACATAAATCAAACCTGTGACACATAACATTATCATAAATCTTTTTTATTGAGCATTTCCACCATTCTCTAAGCCATTGGAAGGATGTCCACTGCCAACCAAGTAAGTCAAAACACACTATAACTCACAGTGAACATATCAAAAGAACACTCTTTCAATCTATGTCTGAGATTCATGACTTTAGTGATTACACTGCTTTTCACATGTGGTAGTGTTGAGTTGAAGCTTAGTCTCACCATGTGACAACTAACTCTAGCAGTAGATCGCTAGGAATAAGTCGGAGTGAAAAGGAAAATAATATGGATATGCTGAATGTACAACAGGACATTAACGGGGATATGAAGGCAATGAATCAGAATTTCATTTGCTTAACCTTAAAGTGGATAAAACAGTAGAGGAATGTTACAAGCTCCAAACTGATAATAAACAACTAAAACTGAAACGTATAAGTATAGAAAATAATATTGAAGGTCTAGAATGTCGAAGAAGGGACAACTTCATATTCCATGAATTAAGTAGTGAAAGTGGTGAAATGGAAGCACCAGAAGAAAAGGTGTGCAATTCTTAAAAGGAGACCTTAGAAATGAGAAAAGCAGCTGATACTGTAATTGTCCAATGATTCAATCCAAGAAAGAAGAGTTTGCCTATGATAGTGAAACCACTAAAAATCCAACGATACAAGTAACATATACAATGAGGCAAGATCATGACTACCAAAACATTCCTGCAACAGGGTCAGTGAGTATTTCCCACAGAACATCCGAGAACAGGCGTGACCTCTGACCCTTGATAAATAAATAAATGCATCAAAACCCTTTCCACATCTTACAAAAGCAGAGTTGTATGATTTCGACTTTTCCTTATCAAATAGTGATGATACAAGATGTTCATGAAAAGATGAGCAGGACTTCAATGCTCATCTGCTGATGTAGGTGGACACGTCACCATGTGGTTTAGTATTTTGTTGGGACCTGGAACTGGTGTAAACTTGCAACCCTGCTCTCAGATGAATTATATGCTGATCATGATGTTGTATGTGTTTGTGAAAATTTAAAGCTAAACACTTAATGTTACAGCAGTAGTGTAACTGTTCTCTTCAAAGAAAACCAGTTAAATGATAAATAAGTGAAAGATAGCACTTTTACTGATAAATACACCCAAAGTCTATATGACTAATTTATAGAATACTGTTCTCCTGTTGTTTGCAACTAATATCAGTAATTTTCACATTGACAGAGAAAGGACCTGATGTTTGCTTGTTTCCCCAATATATGGCCAAGTTTACAAATATATGAAAAAAGCAAATAAGAGATCTTTCCTTCACAAAGTTTTCTTCTATATATGCCAATATTCTTGATGAAATTAATTGATGACATGAAGGAAGATAGGAAAGAACAGTGTTAGCTCTCAATAGATTGTATCAACAAGCAGCTGAAGATACAAAGAAACTATATAAAGGTTACTCTCCACTCTGTCATGATCCTGAAATATCAACATGAGTTTATGTAACAATGACTTATGTTGAAAGCTAAAATATCAGTTACGAACTGGTATTTATTTCCAGAAAATATCATTGCAATGTTTTAACTTTTAAGCCATAAACATACTGTATCCCAACTGCGTTTAGAAGTGATATACATAACAGGGAAAGTTTATGGATGTCAACTTCTTTATTATGAGGAACACAACGTTTCAGGGTATATTCTTACTCCTTCATCAGGAGAATGAAAAACTTTGAGAAAACTAGGAGGTACATAGCTTTATACGTAGATGTGAAACAACAGTGAAAACAGAACAATGAAGAGCACTTATCAAGGCACTATAGTATGTTTGCAGGGAAAACGTACTGATGAATTTCACTTTAAACAAAAACGTAAATCAAATAAAGTAATTAAGATTGCAAATCTTCATAATTTTACCTTGCCAATTGAACATTTAATCTCAGAATTTTATTCAACTGGGATAAAAGTTATTTAACAAATGATCATAGATTCAAATCGCTATTATTGGTTAACATTACAAGGGGGTAAGCGCAGTAGATGGAACAGTGAAACAAATGCACTTGTGGTACATGATGACTGTTAAGACCAACCCTACTTCTTGGTGTTTCATTTAATGTGCATACCCCCTTGTATGAAAATAAGCAGAAATTCCACAATTACCCTGGTTTTTAGCCTTCTTGTTTCCTGGTTTCTTCACTTCAGCATAGGTTTCATTAGTTTTTGAAGCAGGTTTCAGCTTCTTCTTATCCACAGCAGCATACACTTCTGCCGCCCCCTGGGATCCACTGGTTCCAGGCTTCATGACTTCATCTGAACCGGCGTAGCAGACGTTGTCCTGCATTTCTAATGGAAAAAATCATATGGACGTGTGGGTTTCAAATATTATAATAATTTTACCTATTTGTCTTTAACTTTCAACTTAAGTATATGAATGGTGATGCTATCTCAACAGATGTGTTGGGAAATGACATTGTTCAAGTATGTCATAGAACAAAAACAGATGAACATCTGCATTTTGCAGTATTTGATTCATCAACCTTTTCAAAAAGAATTTTTTTAGAATTGATAATTTGTATTTCCTGTGTCCCCTGTTACAGAAAAGGCAATAGAGCCAGGGGACTCTAAGGTCCTTTGCAAGAAAACTTCATTGATAACAGGAAAAGCAGGATTTTTTTCCAACAAAGCACAATTACAAGTTTCAAATATTTACAGTAAGTTTAAGTTTAAGTTCATTCAGCCTATATTTTATTTTCATGAGGGAATAAGAAGAAAGAATTCAGAAAGTCATTTAAAATTTGCAAAATCATGATATAACATCCACTTTTTATAAAACTTATCTTGTTCACTTTTACTGAAGGATATATTATTTTCAATAAAAAAACCTATCTTGTAAATAATGTCTAAAATGTTTAAAACTAAGAGTAGTTTTTAATACCTTACATTTATATATGAAGAATTTAGCTAACAACAATATTAAATCAAACACATCATCAGTATATACATTTGTTCTCATTCCAAACAAAGTAAGTTGCAGGTCCAATTTCATGTTGTGAACGTGTTGACATTTATCATTCAATAATTGTAGAAAACATTTCCAAAAAGCTTGCACATGTTCACAATACCAAAACAAGTAGGGGATTGTTTCAACCTCACACTGACAAAAGGTACATAAGTTGCTTTCAGCTAATTTGATCTTAAATAAAAATGAATTAGTTGATAGAATACAATGTATAATCCTGAACTAAAACCCTTGTAGTCTTTAAAGGTTTTAAAACAAAAATTCCCATTCAAGTTCAGCAAGCATACAATCCTCCCACTCATTCATGATTGAATGGGTTAAAATCAACATTACCTATCGCTGATTCCTACAAGGTCATATCTAAAAAGATATTATAGTTTAAACCCCCAGACATTTCTTGATAACATCACTGAATATGACCTACAAATTAGGCATATCATAAATCTTACTATTGTAAAATTGCCATTCGCAGCATTATTTATGTTATTTAAAATTTAAAAGTCAGATATTTACTCGGAGAATTGTGTTTAGTGATCACTGATATCTGTTAGGCACCAAATCATCAATACCCGGTAATAACTCTGAAACTTTGCTTGTAAACCTAGAATCATTTGAGATGTTTGGGAAAAAAAGAAAACATGAATGATCATAAAGTTTGAGCAAATTTGTTGCTCCAAGCTCAAGAGATGTTCATTGTGATAATTCTTGACAAATTAGAAATGTAGATATGAATGGTTATGGAAGTGTAGTAGGGCCACGGTGAAAAAAAGACTTTGGTCTCACTATCTCCTACGTAGGACATAGTATCTCCAACTTAGGAGATAATGAGACTAAATATATTCCATTGTGTCCCTACTACGCTTCCGTAGATGGTAATACCCAAATTTTAAAACAGTTAATTAAACAGTTTTCAAATTAATGGTTGAAAAAGACTTCCTATGGGTTTAAAAAAATGTGAACTCCATATATTTGCAAAAATTGAAAATCGGGAATAAACTTTACACTGCACATCTCCTTTAGACAAAGAATCTGATTTCCAATTTGAAAAACATTTCACCAAAAATGGTTGAACAAAAATGTCTTCAGACAGACTTGATGGATGGAAGGACAGATGGAATTCCTTTGTATAACTATACACCGCAACCTCTTTAGGTTGTGCAGAGATACACTTCCACAAAAACAAATTTTGTTGAAATATTTTTTGGAGCATTTTATGACATAAAACTGATGTTGAACAAGACCAATTATGATACATGGTAAAACTAATTGCTCATCTATTCAAGAAAGTACATGTATTTACATGTTAAAAATGTCATTTTATGTTGGCGAAATGGTGAAGTGTAAACCTCATTGTTATCTTCTGATGTCAGAGAGTAAAATTGATTTTCATTTGTAGCAAGGTATTGTTCAAATCAAGTGTAAAATTATATACATGTATATAAATCCATTTCATATATCATTCATTTGTGTAAGTGGTAAAAATAATTCTTTTATGCTTAACAAAATCGCAAAATGCAAAACTAAACACAGTCCCTTTTTCAAAGTGGTTTGATATTTGCAGTTAGATTTAGAAGATCATATAGGAAATTTGATATTAATACTCTGTGTAATTTTACAATCAAAAGGAAGACCCCAGCTACACAGCTACTCGGCAATCCAGGGGGTTAAATGAGACTGCATATGTGTCATGACTGAGACATCTTATTATATTCCAATGAAAACTTGGTCAAATGATGTGGTCAAATTCCGTATTGCACCCCTGCCTGTTCTACATTGCTACACTATGATTTGTTTTATTAAGTAACAGATAAATGGAAGATAAGAGGGTATATAATAAATATAGAATGTCATACTAGTGCTTTTGGATGTTTTGAATTGAACCTGCAGATGTCATGGGTGCAGAGAAACAACTTGTTCTTCGAACTGGTTGTTTCTCTGCTCCCATGACATCTTCTCGTTCGATACAAAACATCCAAATTCACTAGTATGATGTTCTCTATATATATAGCATGGACTATTATTATATTGGTCATGGAAAATATACACACCCAAAACAATATTTCATGAATAAGCGATACATCCTTTCATCATATGGGCATAGATCAAATGACATGGTGATCCATTAATGGCAGTTATTGTGATTAGAAGTTAATGTTAACAATACCACTATACCATGCCCTTCAGTAGGTTATGGAACTATGAGTTTTCGGGATTTTTGTCAAAGTTCAGGTATGAATGAAGCCACTTAAACATGTTCCATAACAACAGAGTTCCTTCGCCTGGAGCCACATATCCCTGGATATTCAACAAAAGCATGACTGATAGAGACTATACCTAATTCACTGTCTGTAGTATTTGTTCCCGCGCCTTTTGATCTGAAAGTTGAAGAAAACTTTGCGAAGTAGTCCTAAAATGGCAAATAACTAACAAGAGCATCATGAAAGCTCACCATTCATTCAAAAGCAGAGCAGCATTTCAAAATGTGTCAAAACATTTCATACGAAACTAAACAGTTGCTTTCCTCATATGTTTCCCATGTTTCAGATACTTACTGAGATACATTATTGTCCTGCTAGACAATGGTACAAGAATCTTCACTGAAATGTTACACACACAAAATGAAGAAGTTGTCATTAATGTACTTATCCACAGAGGTAATACGGTACATGCAAACATGCAAGTCTTTGGTCATGACCGTGACCAGCACCAATCAAATAGGAGAAAGTTCATATATTTTACTATTTAAATCATTGAAAACTGTTCCATTGCATCATGAAAAAACAGCAATTATTCCTTGGTTTGGCACAATTTTTGAGTGACCTTGACCTTCATTATTAATTTTAATGCTTAAAATTTTTAGTATGAAAGCCTTGTGGAATTTCACAGTGATCTTGCCCTTTAAAATCATCCAATCACAGACAAATATGAAGTCTTCATATATTACTGACAGTTCTACCTGAATGAAACCATGTGTAATTTCATTTGACATATCATGACATATCATAGAGTGTTGAATTTTATTGAGTCAAAAATGCTTTGATTTTTCATGAATTAATCTGAAATTTTGCCAAAGTCACATGCAACCAAAAAAACAAACATAATTAAAACACAATTATCACTTATTCATGACTTATGACGTATTGCTGATAGTGAAAAAACAAATATACTAAATTATAACCGTACAATCGCGAATCAAAAGTGCAATTCTTTGTACTTGGGTTTACTTCCCTCGAAACGAAGCACCAGGGAGACCAAACCCAGCCAGAGCGGGTGTGTGTGCACTCAAGTGTAACGAAGTCTTTCATTGGCTGGTTCATTTGCCGATATCCTGAGGGCTCATTGTGTGTATATAGAGATGATCTGTTTGATTAGCATTTTAGAAGTATGGTGAGTAATAAGAAAGAAAGATTCTTTATGGATAACAACTTCTTTTATTGTATATGATGTGACATTTCAGTATGGATTCATATACCGTTGTCAAACAAGAGTGACAACGGTATAAGAATCCATACCGAAATGACGCATCATATACAAAAGAAGAAGTTGTTATCCATAAAGAATGTATATAGGGATATTGGGTTTTGAAAATACATGCTCTATGCATTTGCGTTCGATCCAATCAACAAATACTGAGATGGTGAACTACTGCATGGCTGGAAACTGTGGTTCGTCCAAGTACAAAGCAGGACTTGAAATTGACAATCTGAGTTAGCACCAATTTCCTTCCGTGCCAGTCATCCGAGAAAACTTGACGCAGTTTGTGTGCAACTCACAGACATGATAACATGTATCACACCTGCCTGTTTGTGTAATTACATAATGTGACAGAGACAGAACTCAGGTGCACGAGCCATAAATCAATGTGTTTTGTTTATGGTGTATAGCCTGATTGGTGTTAAGTTCAAATTGTGGTCAATGATTGAAGTTGTGTAGAGCATATTGTCATTAGCAGACAGGCAGGCAGACACATAGGTGTCAATAAAACAGACACTGAGTTTGTCTGTGACAGAGACAGCTTATCACTATCCACATATTTTTCTATGTTTCCATGTATATTAAAACATTTCAGTTTTCAAGCTAAGAAATTTTTAACAATGCAATTAGTATTTCTAATGCTACACTTTCTTGAAACTTGGTTCTCAAATCTGCAACCAAGTATGGAACCAGTGTATTTTTATTACTTCAGACATAAGATGCTTGTAATCACAAGAAACATGTCTTATTCTCCAACTTCGACCACGGCAAAAAGCCTTCCATGCATCACTTGCTGTGTTTTTACGAGTCGCCTTCCCGGTTCAAGCTGTGCGAACCTAATCACTGCGTATGTGCTATGGGCACAGCGCAGCACAGCTGTTGAAACCACTTTTCACCCCAGCACTAGGGTGAAATTAGTGAATCGTTAGAACTCTGATTTTGCAGGGGGTTTTTTCATCGTGTTATTTTTCAACTTTATTAGTTGAATTTGCATTTTTGATAATTTGTTACTGTAAGTCCATACCAAAAGGTATAAGAATCTGCAAAGTTGTGTTTTGCGTTGCATGTGACCTTTAACCATCTTTCATTACATAACCTATTGTGACTATGATCACAATAGAGAGGTCATCCAAAAATTTAACTTGCTTAGTTGTATCAAATTCATAATTAGTTATTCTGTACACGTTTTTTCATACCATTATGATTGATCATGACCGTCAAAGAGATCCCATCACATGTAAAAACTATTATGACCATTTTGAAGTCCTTAAATATCTATCATTAGTGCATGGTTGAGAAAGCCAATAGTAGTGAAAACTCAAATTTGAAAAAATTCTTTAGAATTGGCATCTCAATATATGAACGAAAGATAAAACTTACGTAATTCCCCTCTCTGTCATCATCTGCAATGATACAGAAAACAGAAATGTGAGTCATTTTTATACAAGTATAATGATATAATCATGGCCTTCTTGAATGTGATTACACATCAATATATCTCATTTCATTTTTTCCAGTGGAATATTTGAAACATTTTGGTAGAAAGAGCACTAGGTGTAAAGAAAGTTAAGCAAACATATAACAGCTAGAAGTTAAAACAGTTCAAAACAGTATGAATATGTTATACTCAATATGCCATGCTATTTAAAATGTAATGGTACATGGTGAAATGGCCGAGAAATAGGAAATATGACCTTCATTAACCTAAATGTCTCAGTGAGATTTTGAAACTTTTTAGTAAATGTAGAATAGTAAAAGCGCAAGACAGGATAAAACATATGTATTCCAAAAAGTTGATATTTGCTGAATTGATGGGGAAAAGGTAATGTGCAACCAAAGTACAGAAGATTGCTTGTGCAGGAAGAAAAAGAACCTTACATACTTGATTTTTGTTGTTTATCCAAATGTCAATTTGTGGAACTATTTGTACCATCTATTAGGTGTTTGAAAAGAGGTGAGGATTTCCCACCATTGTGCATGGTAGTAGCTATAGGCTGATGGTACTATTGCTGGCACAGCTAATTATGTATAGCTGACAGCAAAGATGACTTCTTTTTAATTTTTTGCTGTATGTGACTGCAACCACAAATGATGTAATAGGAGAAGAAAGTGTCGTAATACTTATAATAATCATTGTTAACAATATATGTACCTGTTCCTGATTATAATAAATACAATCCCTTCTAGTATGAGATTGCCCAGAAGGGCAGATGGGTTCAAACTAATCCCCTATTAAGGTTTAACAAGAGCAAAAGTGACCTACACATTTTAAATGGCATGTTCCCATTTCGCCTACATCCCATTTCGCCTACAGTCTTAAAACAACAATTCATGGTCTGGTGACTGTTATTTCATGCATGAGTACATAAGTTTACCCCCTTCAGATATAAATGGAATCTCCCCTAGTTTACCTTTAATTTGATTAATAGCACATGTAGACAACATGGCCTTTTGCATTAAAATTGTTCTTCATGTTTTTTATTCACAGCAAATCATAGTACAATATAATACAATAATCAAAATAACACTGGCTGTTAAGTGAGTGAGTGTAGAATGAGTGTATAGCATATTGGGGGATATGGTGTGGTGATACAGTTATGCTGCATTTATTTAATAATAGGGGGCCTCATAAAGAAAGAAAAACCGGGTTGAAACGGGGCGGGGTAGGGGTGAGGGACGATAAGGCAAAGGCCGTGTGTATGGTAAAGAACTGTTTGTGAACTGGCTTGGGGCTGAGGTCATGACCTTTGTACATGAGGGCTGGAGCTAGGTTTGTTTACGCTTTAGTGGTTGCTGATTGGCTGGAAGAGGCGCGGACCTTTTAGCGGAAATAAGACAACTGTAAATAACTGAATTTGTTTCCCAGGTCTAAATGAGCAGGCTTATGTTGGTGGTAGGGTATGAGTATAGAGAAGTGAGGTTTGGGTGCCTGGTCTAAATATATAGGCTATTGAGAAGTAGTATGTTGAGTATTGTTTGGGAGGTTCTAAATTTTATTTATTAGAGTTGAGTTTTGGATAAAAGTGGCTATGGCATGGAATAAATTTGACGGGTTAAAAGGATTTAAAAGCAGTTGTATGTTGTTGTGATATTTAGTTGGAATGCTGGTGTGTAGTTGAGTGATGTTTGCTTGTTGGAGGTGGCAGTTTGTGAATATGTGTTCAATGGTTTCGGGTTGGTTGCAATGTGTGCATAATCCATCTGGGTGTCTGTTTTGTTTGAATAATGGATGATTTAGATTTGTGATGCCGGTGATTAATCTTGTGATGAGTGTGTCCATGTGTTTGTTGCTTGAGTAGGTGAGTGTTGTGGTGATAGGTTTAGTTATGATTGCTTTGACCCAGGTGGATTTGTTTGTGTTGAGGTTCTGTTGGTAGTTTTGGTTGATTATGTGGTGTTTTATGAGTTGTTTTAATTCGGTTTTAGATGTGTGAAATTGAATGGGTGGAGAGTTTTGTGTAGTGGCTAGTTTGGCTGCTATGTCTGCTGTGTTATTTCCTTGATTGTGTGTGTGGGCTGGAATCCACATTAATGTTATGTTTTTATTTAGTTGTTGTAGTGAGTCGGTTTGTATAATTGTGTTGTGTATTAGGTCGTTACGTGCTTTTGAGTGCTTGTGTTGAAGTTGTTTGATGGCGCTGAGAGAGTCTTAGTCTCTAGTACAGACCCTGAAGCAATTATATCCAAGAAAGCCCACGCAAGTCTAGAAAATGTGGCAAGTCTAGATTTCCTCAGCTTCAGGGTCTGTACTAGACTAAGGCTTAGTCTCTGAATATATATAATTTTGATAGTAACAAACAAGCCAATTTATATTGAAAAGGAGCCCTAGGGAGACCAGAGAACCTGAGGAAATCTAGACTTGCTTTATTTAGGGCTTTAGCACTGCAGAGAGGGCTTGGGAGTAGGGAAATTAATGTGGTTCAGGGACTGTGAGACAGACTAGGTCTGTACCAATCTGCTGAATTCACAAGCCAGAATATGGCTTGTAATTATCAGTTGATCTCTAGCTGTCACTGGTGTTTAATATTAACTCATGGGGAGCCTCCCCCACCACTCCCTAAGACCCCACGCTGAGCCAAGGCCTCCTGCTTCTGCCCTGTCCTCTCACTCCAGACAAACAACATGTGTGATTACACTAGAGACCTGATGACTTATAAAATCTGAGTATTTTCCTTAACTGTTTCATTTTACACTGGCGAAGAGAGGGGATCATTTCGAAAAGTTTTCCATCTCAGGGTAAAAATGAATTGGAACTTTGATGAGGATGAAAGCAAATATACATAGCATTTGTCCAAATCAGAATACAGTGATTGAAAAGTACTTAAGTGGTGAAGATGTCTTGTATTGTTCTCCATCCAGGAGTGGAAAATCACTGACATTCGAAATTCTCCCTATTCATACAAGTCAGTAGAAAATACAAGCCATGCTACTGTTATTGTTGTGTCATCCTTGATTAGCATGATGAAGAGACAAACAGAGAAATATAAATCATTATGCTCAAAGCAGTGTACCTCAACGATGTAGGCATTTGTGACTTTATCCATAAACTTTGAAAAGACATTGTCATGGGGATCTGATGGCATATTGTTATCCCCTGCAACAACGAAGCAATTGTGATAGCTTAACCAAACTTGGTACACATGTCAACCATGATCCCTAGATGTGCCTTTTGGGGGTTAGACCCAGATATGATTTTTATTTTGAGGATGTCATCTTGTCCAGAACAGAACTTTAAAATCGTTGAATATTTCGTCACCAAACTTGGCACATAGATAGGTCTGGCGATATACTGGTGCCTTTCGGTAGTTTTGGATTTCTTAATAAAACATATTTTGCGTTTCCATGGCAACAAGTTTGACTTTGACTGAAATTGGTGGTAGGGCTCTTTTCCGGAGCAGAACTTAAAAAAACTTTCAATACTCTCCTTCCACTTTGTAATATAGTCACAGATTTGGTTGGCACATATCATTGCATCCCATTTGAGTAGATTGATGCTCATACTATTGATCACTGGATTATCTGGTCCAGATTCTATTATTTACAGACAGCTGGAATATTGCTGCGTGTAGCATAAAACTAAACTCACTCACTCACTGTTATATACACACCAAAACATTTGACATAGTCGTAACTAACTGACATATACACGAAGAGTTTTTTGCCAATGCGGGGGATATTGATGACTTTTTCTGCTTGTTACATTATTTATATGCGACATCAATAAATAAATTTGGAATTTTTTTGGTTGAGATCCAGTTATCCAGCCACAGGAATATCAAGAGATGCTACCCTTAGCTTAGCTGGTATCCCTGCTTGCTCTCAAAATAGATTTGGCGACACTTGATACTCATTACCCCAAATCCACCCACACCACTGGCAGTAGGACTGGGAGGTGGTGGGGGCAGTAAATATTCCTGTCACACACAATTAAAGCAATAAAGGGTGATACGAATCTTTGTACATGTTGTGAAATTCCAAGAAATTATCCCTCTGCAGATTTGTTTAGTCTCTGAAAATGAAGAAAGTCTCAGGGCTCCTTTTCATTATATTATATTTTTCTTTACTATGAACATTTTTCAGTAAATTATGTTCATTTCAGAGACTAGTTGTTAGTAAAAGAGAGTCTGTAAGTAATAAGATGTTGGTGTGGGGCATGGTGGGAATGAGATGAAGTGCTGTTAAGATTGCTGTGAGTTCTGCTGTGTTAATGTTTGTGTGGTTTGTATAGTGGAGGTTTGTTGTTAGGGGGGGGGTTTGGTTGACGTAGATGCCTATGCCTGTGCGTTTGTTTGTGCCGATGGAAGCGTCTGTATATATTTGGGTATGGTTGGGATAATATAGGTTGATGTGGGTTTGGATGAGGTTTGTTTTGGTTTGGGTGTCTGTGGATTTAGGGAGATTTTGGAGTGTTTCTACTAGGGTGGTATCAGTATTGGGTGGGGGTTTGTCGTGAATGTAGCTTGTTATGGGAGGTGTGTGTTGTATGTTGTTTAAGTGGTGTGAGTGAAGCAGACTGTTGAGGTGAGTGAGTAGGGGGGCTTTGTTTGGGTTGTTTTTAAATTTTTTGATAGTGGATTTTTTAATGTTTGTGTATTTAGTTGTGATGAGTTTGTAGATTGGGTTGTGTTGGGCCCCAGCCCAGTAATTGAGTGCGGTTTGATTTATTCGTGTTTTGATTGAAGGGATGCCTGTAAGTAGGAGAAGAGTGTTGTGGGAGGTACCAGTCCTAGTGCCTAGGGCCTGTTTAAGGGCTTTATACTGTATTGAGTTTAATTTTTGGAGGTTGGTTGGGGAGATAGAGTGGAGGACCGGAGCAGCATAGTCCAGTCTAGACTGTATCAAAGTTTTGTATATATTAATCAGTGTTTGTTTGTCGGCTCCCCAGTTTGTGCCGCTGATGGCT